CCCAAACTTCAAATTATTGAATCGGAACATCCGGGGCTCCGATTCACGATCCGCGAATTCCTATAGGTTTCTAAGAGTACCTAGATCAACATACTTCAGTTTGGAAACGATCCAACGGTTAGAACTTATCGAACCCGGATAACGCACAATATGCGAAATCCGTTCGATAGTCAAACGACATCCAAATTGAGATCCGCAAAATCCTACGCACTCGTGACATCCTGAGGATCTCATCAGGATGAAAAACAACTTCACCCGCTTTGCCCACGCGCCGCCACACGCGCCGGCAGCGCGTGGGTGTGTAGAGAAATTTCCGGCAACGGAAAATCTCCACACCAACGCTCACCCTTCCTACCCTAGCTTCTTCTCAAGGTCAGGATCACTTTATTCAACTACCACGAGGTCCAATTCGTATGGGAACTGGCCGGAATTTCAAATTGAAAACCGGCCAAAACCTAAGTTTCCAATTCGGTTCCAAACTTCAAATTTGATCTAAACCTACCCCAAAATTAGCTAGAGCACAGAAAATGGAGAAGAAACCTCACCTGGTTCACCGGGATTGGACGGCGGAGACGACGGCGCAACGTCGTGAAAAACCCGACTTGAACCAGTCGATAACGTCGACGATTCTCTGGTTTTCCGGCAAGGAATTTGGGTGGGTCTTGATCGGGACTTCGAGGGGAGTTGAACGGGATCGGTCTTGAGGGCTGAGGTGGACTGTGGCGGCGGCGGCACGGTGGTTTCCGTTTGAATGAATAGTAACTCGGGAGGGAAAGGGTTCTGCGCGCTGGGGAGAATCGGGAGAGAGAGAGAGTGTGGGGGTAAAAGTGAAAAATCTGATTTTACCCCAAACTTACTTCGAAATAATTACAGTTCTGCCACCGAACAAGTTTTGATCGCCAAAACTTCGTTAAATCTCCGATTCAAGCCTACCGCCTGTCTACGGTTTCGTCTCAGTACCACCTACGCAACCACACCACTCATGGTCCCAAAATCTTCCCGGATAAGAAATTGACCAAAATTACCCTTAACCCAAGAGTAAATTAATATTTTCTCTTAATTGGATTAAAATAGGAAAATAATCGGAGTCGGGGTGTTACACTGTGTCTGAAATTTTTTCTTTTGGTTTCTAGTTCTTAAGTTTCTTGGTTTGAATTATTTGGTTAAAAGTTTCAACTCTTATGGAAGGATATATAATATGGGTCTTGACTCCGATTTTTTCAGCTTTGATTGTGATTTCAGCAAATAATTGGGTGATGGGTATTTTGGTTTAAGTGTTGTAATGTGGTTTTCGGTAAGGGATCTGGATTTCAATTAAAAATAAAATAAAAAAGAATTGGAAATTATTATAATTGTGAAAAATATTATACACAAATATAACACAAATAATAATGGAAATGATTTCTTTAAATATATATATATATATATAAATAATGAAATGATGTTGAACAGCGCAGTATCAAATAAAATAATAAAATATAAATATAGATTTAATTAGACATGATGTGGGGCCCAGCTTGGAGCAATTGGATGGTCAAACACCATTTGTGAGAAAACCCAATAGTTACGGCCACAGAAGTCACAGGATCAAAATTTGTAACTACACCGTTACTAATGGCTTTAGTCACGAATATTCATGGCTAATACTATCAAAATTCACGAAAAAAAAAGTGACTGTTGTGGTTTTTTTTTTTTGGTAGTGTAATGGCTATACATTAGGGTTGCTAAATTTCAGGCTCTAATGTATAGAATCCTGAGGTACTCCTCATTTCTCATTCTTATGCCAAAGTCTCTTTAGACTTGTTCATTAGGGACAAGGAGAAGGTAGGATGGAGCCACCAGGGGCAACTGCCTTGCCCCCACTAAATTTTTTGCCATACAAAAAGTGATATTTTAAAATGAAAAAGCCTTTTATCTTTTTCAAAAAATTAGCATTTACCCAAGGGCCTTGTAGCTCAAGTGATTAATAATTTAATAGTAGTTATCTATGCACTCGAGGTTCTGTGTTTAAATCTACATACAAAGTAACTTTGATCATATTATGTTATTGAAACATAAAGATGGGAAGGTAATTTCTACTATAAAATCTTTACTTCGACATTATACAGATAAATGATAGAGCAATATATTCTGTCATGGTCAAGATTATGATTGCGTGGGTTCTATCATCAGCAATGATTTTCATTTGTGGTTGACTCAATAAGAAGACTTGCTCAGTCATCACACCTTAAACCACCGTATTTCTCTCTCATGCCCTATCAATTCAAATTAAGGAGTGAAAATAATCCCAGATTTTCATATCTGAGTATGGCTTCCAGTATTCGGATTGTTGCCTTTCTCCTTTCTCTATTTTCTCTAGGAGGTGAAGGAGCTCGACAAAATAATTCTACCTAACTAATAAGCCCAGGCTCTTCACTTTCTCCCATAAGTAGCCGAAGCTCATGGCCTTCTCCTTCTGGACATTTTGCATTGGGTTTTATAAAAAAGGAGCAGGATTTGCAGTCGGAATTTGGCTGGTGGGAACAAAACAATTGTCTGGACAGCAAATGGCGACAATCGCCCAGTCACCTCAAATGTGTTGGAATTTTAAAAGGCTTTAAAAATTTAACCGTTTTATTTATTTAATTATTTTGACTTTTTTATTTTATTTATTGTGGGGGTTATAAATATTTAATATTCAGGCTTTATTTTTGGTTAGTGAATGCCTTAATTTTTTGGTTGGTAAACTTTTATGGTTGGTGAAGGTTACATGTTTTGGATGCCTATAAAAGGCCACTCCTCCTTCACATTTGATACACACACAAGACACACAAGACACAATACACTACCAGAATATCACATACCACAATCACCACCACAAACTAATTCTTTCCTTTTCTACTTTTACATATATTCTTTACTTTATATTATTATTATTTTGGGCAATGGTTATGTGACTTGGATACCTATATCTGTCTATGAGTCATAAAAGATCTTGAGTTTGTGTACAAGGGGTCGTATCTTGGAGTCTTGTAGACCGTCAGTACTTGCACGTAAGGAGGCTACAAAGGCTTTAGAACAGCGTCTTTGACGTGCTTCATTGTACCAAACTCACCTTCTTACCTATTATTTATTTTCCTTTTATTTCCCTATTATTTTGTTTTCTTCAATTTCATTATACCTTCAAAGCTTTACATATTATAAATATGTTATTTATAATATAAATATTTTTCATAACAAAATGCAATGCTGCGGTTAACAAGTGACGGCTAGCTTGTTCTAAGTGATAGAGAACGACAAAATAACCTCATCGTCACTACAGATACTTATTCACCAACAGACTCTGCAGCTTCCTCTGCCTCCATGCTCGACTCTGGAAATTTTGTTCTGTATAATGAAAGGTGCGATGTCATCTGGGAGAGCTTTAATCATCCTACTGATACTCCCCTCGGAGGTCAGATTCTGCCTATTGGGGGTTCACTCTTCTCCAGTCTTTCGGAAAATGACCACTTAATAGGACGGTTCCATCTTGACATGCAGGCTGATGGAAACCTGGTTCTATACTCAGCAAATAGCGAAAACTCATCTACAGATTCCTATTGGAGCTCTGGAACCTATCTCCAACTTCAAATTTATCTTAACGCTACAAGTCGTCTAGTTCTCATCAACAGCACTAATTGGGAAGGAATCCATGTTTTAGATTATGATGAATCGTCCAAAAACATCTACAAAAAGGGTACCATATATCGTGCGACTGTTGACGTGGAAGGAAATTTCCGGTTGTATTCTCATGTATATGATGAGAGTACTGGAAAATTCCAGCCATCCCTTATTATGTGGCAAGCACTGGATGATCCTTGCGATGTTAAAGGCTTCTGTTGTGAATTTTAGACAACCTGAAAAATATAGATTATAAAGATTAGTCTAAACACAAATTATACTCGCAAATGCACAAGGTCAATCGTAATATAGTAATGGCAAATACGAGGTCATTCCCACGAGGATTGATTTCAACTACGAATTAGTCTAACCTAATTTACTTTACAAAATAGTTTAACTACTCTAATTATATAAACAAGAAATTAAACGCGTAGCATACTCACGTAAACACAAAAGGGGTTTTTGAAAGAACGATTTAATCAACAAAGAAATTAAAAGACAAAATAAGTAGAAAGTCACGAAACACAAGGATGATAAATTCAAATTGATAAAAGCACTAGGACAATGAATTCACTACTAGTAATCCGATCTAGCCTCTTATTCACCTACCTATTTACTAACCATTTGATGTCGCCACTTAGTTTTCCTTTTTCATGAATTACCTATGGTATTTAGGCTAACTCGTATATTCCTACATGCAATTCGCCTATGGTATTTAGGTCAAATATCAACACATAGAAACTCATTAAGATCAGTGAAAACCTCGAACAAGCATGTAAACCCTAGGAGTATGGTATTTACCCTAGACGAATTACAAATCCTAATCGCAAGAAGCAAGCCTCAAATTAAGTATGGTATTTACTCTAATTTGCATCTGATTAACTCGATTAAAAGTCTAGATGGTGATCAAGAATCAAGATAAGAAACCAAGTTATTAAGCACAGTGATTAAGAATCCATCAAACGACAATCAATAGATAAGTAAAATAAGAAAACTAGATTATCATACTAGGGCTACATCATGCCCTAGCAAGAGAAAATTAGTTACACATAATCATAGAATTCGACATAAGCAAAAACATAAGGAAGACACAATAAAACTTAGCCAATTGCGGTACTCTTCCGGTGTCTCCAATTTCTCCTAGTCTTTGCATGTCCTCAAAGGAGTTGTTTCTCATGCTTAAATAAAACACCACACATCTATTCCTACCCTAGCTGGGCTTTTACAGCAGCCCAAGAATAAAGAAAAACCTAATTAAAACATAAATTGTGGCAAGCACTGGATGATCCTTGCGATGTTAAAGGCTTCTGTTGTGAATTTTAGACAACCTGAAAAATATAGATTATAAAGATTAGTCTAAACACAAATTATACTCGCAAATGCACAAGGTCAATCGTAATATAGTAATGGCAAATACGAGGTCATTCCCACGAGGATTGATTTCAACTACGAATTAGTCTAACCTAATTTACTTTACAAAATAGTTTAACTACTCTAATTATATAAACAAGAAATTAAACGCGTAGCATACTCACGTAAACACAAAAAGGGTTTTTGAAAGAATGATTTAATCAACAAAGAAATTAAAAGACAAAATAAGTAGAAAGTCACGAAACACAAGGATGATAAATTCAAATTGATAAAAGCACTAGGACAATGAATTCACTACTAGTAATCCGATCTAGCCTCTTATTCACCTACCTATTTACTAACCATTTGATGTCGCCACTTAGTTTTCCTTTTTCATGAATTACCTATGGTATTTAGGCTAACTCGTATATTCCTACATGCAATTCGCCTATGGTATTTAGGTCAAATATCAACACATAGAAACTCATTAAGATCAGTGAAAACCTCGAACAAGCATGTAAACCCTAGGAGTATGGTATTTACCCTAGACGAATTACAAATCCTAATCGCAAGAAGCAAGCCTCAAATTAAGTATGGTATTTACTCTAATTTGCATCTGATTAACTCGATTAAAAGTCTAGATGGTGATCAAGAATCAAGATAAGAAACCAAGTTATTAAGCACAGTGATTAAGAATCCATCAAACGACAATCAATAGATAAGTAAAATAAGAAAACTAGATTATCATACTAGGGCTACATCATGCCCTAGCAAGAGAAAATTAGTTACACATAATCATAGAATTCGACATAAGCAAAAACATAAGGAAGAAACAATAAAACTTAGCCAATTGTGGTACTCTTCCGGTGTCTCCAATTTCTCCTAGTCTTTGCATGTCCTCAAGGGAGTTGTTTCTCATGCTTAAATAAAACACCACACATCTATTCCTACCCTAGCTGGGCTTTTACAGCAGCCCAAGAATAAAGAAAAACCTAATTAAAACATAAATCCAAAATGGGTAAGTAATTGATTCCTCTTCCTACTTGGACTGGGATAACACATCAGCTACTTTGCACGCACGTTTGGGGTTGTTTCTCCTCCAAGAAAACTCGGGAAAAATATGTAAATTTTAGATTTTGGTCTTATCTTTCCAGCCATGTATCGCACGCCTTGAGGCAAAATCAGGAAAGTCTTCAAATAGTCATTCTTCCACAACAGCACGGTTTTGACGGGATTGCACCTTATGCTGACTTAACTTCAAAGACTGCTCTCATTGGCTTCTCCGAAAATTCTAGAAAAATTCCACAATCATCTTCATGGTCTTAGCTTTCATCTCCAATTTGTCTCGTACTAAAACTCCACCAAAAAGTCGTATTTCCGTTGATAACAAATTACTTGCTCTGGAAAGCTGAAAATTGAGAAAATAAAGTAATAAGTCCTTTTTAAATCAAATTCTCCTACAAAAACTAAGTATAAAGAGTACATAAATGTGTAAATTTATGGACTTGTCAAATATCCACAACTTAGATTTGGCTAGTCCTCTAGCAAAACAAAACGAAAATAAAAACAAAAGAATACAGACCCAATGCAAATAAGCGATCGACTAACTTCCCAATATTGATCTCGGAGATAATCACCAACCGTTAGCTAACTTTCAAGAAATAAACAACAATAACTCAAGACATTATCAAAGGGTTAACCAAACTTTAATTGAACAACTTGGATGTAGTGTGTGAAATAGCCAACATTAATACAACCCACGACTTAAGCTTCACACAAGTTAAATAACCAAATAAGAACAAGCTTCAACTTCAAATCTCATCAAGGATATTCACTCCAATAAAAGCACTTGAAATTTGACTAGTTATTGTCACTCATAAATATGTGAGAGGAATCAAAGCAATATGATGTACTCACATAATTGAAATAAAGGCACATGACATAGATAAAAGATCTCATGGAAAGATATCGCATACTTGAAAACATTTAAACCATCCGATCATAGTCCTTCCACACATATTCTCCACATGAGGAACCACACTTCTCCTTGGATCAAATAGGACTTTCATTAAGGTTGTAATAGGGCTTAGGGTGATGGGTGAAACAAAAAAAAAGATATGGATGAACAAATTCTAAGGAATTCATAGAGCTTTCTATGAAAATTATAACATCTTGCACTTTGAGCACGAAACTTCATATTGATACTGTCTTGAATTATTATTTTTTTCTTGTTTTATTTTTTATTTTTTTCTAACTCCATTAGCTTTCTAATCAACCCATGTAGCGAGGGTTAGGCCAATGACTTCCAGGCGAGATAGCTTTAGGGCATTAAATGTAAAACACTCCTAGTGCTTAATAACTCGAGTTGAAAAGGCTTCGAAATTAGTTTTTTTTGTTTTGTTGAAATAGTATCCCTTACTTTCCACATGATTGAACAATTTGTGCAAATCTCCCTTAAAAACGAAAATACTCTACAAAACTCCTTAGAAGGGTGTAGGATAAACATATGATAGATTAAGGTGAGGAGAATTGGGTGAAGAATGAAAAATGCTTACACAAAAGGCACAAGGGGGTTAACTAGGGATAAAAGTGATATGGGTTGGCTAGAAGGGCTCAAACGAAAGAAACAAGGCCTATATCACTTCCTAGAATCCATGTGGTTCACAAAGTATGCCTCAAATAGATAATGAAAGTAGTTCTTGCAAACAATTTAAACATCCTCAAGTATTTGACCAAAAGCAAAGAATAATGAGATCACAACGATGTAGACAAGAAAATTATAGGATAGTATATAACACTCAAGAAAGAAAGGCACAGGCTCAAAAGCTCACATAATGAGGGTTACATAAATTTACACTAGCTCTTATTTAGCCATTTAAATCATGTGAAATCCCCAATCGAAACTCATATTAACATGGATATGTGCATAAGGATTTCCCAAGTCTAATCATAAAAATGAGGCTAACACAAAGATAATGTAAAGAATTAGTGTCATGCTCAAAACTTCTTGAAAGTTAATTGTAAATAAAATTCAATCTCATCATATAATTGGGAAGTGACTACCACAAACAAATAAATTACTTGGCCAAACTTTACATTCTTTATATGGTTGGATTCAGAATGAAAAAACAAAGAACGCACGCTGGCCAAAATACAAAAACAGCAGCGAACAAGGACAGAATTTGAAACAAAGACAGAGGACTGCTGCATACATTATGAAACCAAAAAACTCAATCACCCACAACTTAAAATAAACATTGTCCTCAATGTTTAAAACAAAGAAAAATAATTCATGCAAATTCATTTAAAGAGAGAGAGAGAGAGAGAGAGTGAGAACTTTCCGGGTTTGTGTAGGTGCATGGATGAGCAAAGCGTAGAATATGTCAAAGTGAGAGTGGATCGACAATGCGACGAACTGAAACACCCACAACTTGCTTCTTGGAATGTCAACAGACTTGTAATAGCTCCTATAAGTCTTGGAATGCGATGAAATTGGAACGAAACTGAGCTGGATATGTAATCATAAAAATCTGGAAATCCGACTTCTAGCGACAAAAAATCTGATGAACACCGCTTCTAAAACCTCTTTGGTGACGAAAAATCTTCAAATTCTAGGCAAAACAGCAACTGCCTTTTTTTTTTTTGTGTTTTGGGTCCTTTTTTGAGCTTCAAATTGTCCTAAAACATAATGTAGGCCACCGGAGACCCCCAAACCTAGTCCAAAACATCATAATAACCATTCTAAACATGTCGGTGGCTTCAGATTGACCTGAAAAATAACAAAAAAGACATTAGGCAGAAATTTTGATTTTGACCAAAATAAGAACCTACTAAGCTATTTTGCGATTTTCTGGCATTTAACTTCAACCAATGACTAAACA